TTTATAGATTCTTTACTGCAAATTCTTATGAATGTCTAAGAAATATAAAATATAAATACCTATGAGATATACCTATGAGAGCAGAAGTTTCTAAAAAATAATTTCGAAGAGATGGAATTCACTTAATTTGCAAATTAATTAATCATTAGTAAATGAAGATAATACAATAAAATATCGGTTTGTATTACTTTGGTTACAATATTTACCTAGCACCAAGGTTATCGTGTTCCTGATTTGCTAGCAGTGGCATATTGCAAACAGAGCTAATATTCTAGTTATTAGTTGTAATTTTTTCTTTCAGAGTAGCAAAAAAATGCACGCAATTTACAAAGGAAAGTATGTGAAGCAATAATAATGCTCTTAAAATCTTCAGAGTTAGGTTTTACTCGCAAAAAAAATTTAAAGTCTAAGTTTTAGTACAGCCAAATTCAAAAATCAACCTATTGTAAATTTTCACTGAAAATATGTTGCATAATTCCAATCTTTCGTTAAAATCATATGAGCATTTCATTTCCTAAAAAATTCAAATACAATAATAAATAATTTAATTTAAATATTTAAAATGATAAATATACTAGATTCTATCAAAGAATATAGTCACTTTCGTCTTTTAAAAATGACGTTAAATTACAACTTATATATAAAAAATATTGGTCTCTCCCGTGTGAATCATTGAGTAACATTAACATGACTTTCTCAGCATTACGTTCCTAGATTAGGTTCTATATATAAGAAAGAATATATAAATCATGCAATAAATAATTATGCCTCTACAAAAAGAATAGTATTGCAACTTAACAATTAAAATTAAAAAAATAATTAATTAATTAAATCATTCTACAGCTTATTTATGATTATATTTTAATATAAACACAGCAAGTGAATTTTTTATTAAAATTTTTCACAACAAAGTAACAAAACTCCATAAAAATGTGCGATTTATGTTCGCACATTACGGCTTTGGGTCAGTTGGTTAAGGTGCGCTGACTCTAAGCTTCAAATTATGCAGGGCACGAGTTCGATTTCTGGTACTTGCAGACTCAAAAATAATTATTTACGAATAATTAAATACAATAATTATTTCCAAGACCACTGATGATGGATATTTGGCAATATTCGAAACAGCTGTAAGGACAGGCAAAAATTCAATTAATTAAAAGAATATAAAATGAATTTTTGTTGTTCTAGTTCACTACTGTTCAAAAATCCTCTTTTTAAAATTTATATATATGAAAAGATTTTAAATAAAAAGTTTAAAAATATTACAAAATAAATTTCAGTTACATATTTTAATAAAAAATTTAATCTTTAATTAATTCTTAACCATAATCCTTTTACCCCTTTTAACAAAACTTATATGAAATAAAATAAATTTATATCTTTTAGATATTAAATTTATATCTTTTAGATATAAATTTAATATAAGATTTATAAAAATTTATAAATTTTGTGGAAAAAATTCTTATGTAAAAAATCAAAATATTAAATTTATATATATATATAATTTATAAATATATATAATTTAATAAATTATATATATTATATAATTTAATAAATTATATATATTTTTATTTAAATTAAATAATAATAAAAACTATTCTGAACTTATATAAAACTCATAGAGCTAATATAAAATTTATAGCAATACTTCAATTTTAAATAAAAAGTTTATTTGAGTTAAATTTAAAAAAAAAGCTATATATCTATCAAAATAAGTTTTAGCAACAAATTTTGAAAATTTTTAATAAAAACCTAATTATTTATTTATAAAATTGCCTAAATTCTAAAGAAAGAAGTTATATATGGTAATGCATAATTTATAATGTATAATGCAATAATCATGCAATAATGTATATAATGTATTTATTTTTATATCATCCAAAGTAATTCTTAACTATAAACTTTCACACGAAAGTCTTCGGGAAGAAGTCTTGTCGTTTAGAAAAAAGTGCAACTTATTAAACATTCACAACCTCAATTTTTCCATCTCCATTTTCCAGAGACCCAAATATTTAGAAAGAAAACGAGTTGTAGATTCAAACTGATCAGACTGACATTAATCCATAACCATTTAAAAATCAAACAGGAAATTTGGTGTTTGGAGTCGCATAGTACTATTAACATTTACGCTGGCAAGCGTAAATAGAGAAATTGACTTGTATATAGTGCTGCCTAACAGCACTTTTAGTTGCGTGAATTCTAGGTACTTGTTACCTATCCTATAAGGCATACGTAAGTAGCTTTAAAGGGACTGAAAATATATTTCCATTTTAACCTGTACTCTATTCTGCCTTATATTGTAACAATATGATTTTGCAATAATTAGTAAATAATAAATAAATATTGGCATATGTAAAGCTTTAAAGAAATAATATATAATAATAATTAAATACAAAAATGATACATCATATTGTTTTTAAAATTTTTTATAATTATATGCATTATTATGAAATTCACTGTAATGAGTTTTACTTATTGTTTAGAGCTAATTCTTTCGAACTGTGAATCTTCAAAGAGAAATTTCCTTATTTTGGAGACAGTTTTACTTTAAAAACTACATTTTCTACAAATTGTTTAGGATTTATTTTTTTTTTTTTTTAAATATTCATATTGTTATTTGGCACTTCCGATTTTAGTCATTTTAGAATAAAGACTTTTTCGATTGAATCGAATGCTTATGAGAAAATAATTTTTACCTATATATTGACGAGTAATTGTGATCAAATAAAATTGTGATAGTCTCTATTCACAATTTCTACGTTTATGTTGTCCTATCCCTATTTCTAATAGAGATAAATAAATTTCAAAATAGATATTTAATAGATGTCTCATATTCTAATTTGTTCAAAACTTCTAAATGCCCAACATGCTTTATTTTTTCCCTAAATCACTTTTAAATGAAGACTGTTGTATATAGCTACAGCTATCTAACCTTCTGATACTAAAGACGAGGGAGACATTGGCAAGTGGGCCAATTTCATATCACAATAACTGACAAAGTAGGTTAGCTGACCCTAATACCCTCAAAACTCTTCTTTACTTCACACCGCATCATTTGTTTTTAATCGAAAGATAGAATTTTCAAAAATTTTCACATACTATACGATTTGTATGCTCTGCATTACGTGTAAGCATTTACCTATTATCGATTAAGCCATAATATAAGACTTACTGCAGTTCTTACTGATCATTGCAGTTCTTACTGAGAAACTGCGGATTCCCCATAACCCTCACTGCAGAAGTTGTGAAAACCCGTTGGACATATTAAATTACCTAAATTCGGAGGGATAGATTTAGTCTCTACTCTTCTATACTAGAGGTCTTGCGAGGAATGTGGTAGCAAAACGGCCAAAAATCGCTAATTGAGGTACATGGAAGTTATCTAATGGCCTGCCACTGCAACCAACCACCAACCAAGCCATAATATTTGCAACTTAAATAACTTATCTAACAGAGATACAATTGTCAACAAAAGTAGTTTTCATATAGAATATAGAAATGTATATAAAAGGTCACTCTTTCTTTTCAAAATGTTTAGAAAGTTTTTATGAAAGCCTAGGTATGTAACATCATAAGGGTTTTGGAAGCTACGGCACTCTGCTGCCTTGTACTTCATTAATCCATCAATTTCTGATACAAATCTTATCCGTCTACTTGTTGACGTTTCTTTACTAATAAGAGTTCGGATCGTCAATAGTTTAGCGCCTATTGCTGACCAGCAACAGAGTAATAATATCGGGACTAATAGATTATTAAGGACAGGAAAAGGAATACTTTATGCCTCACCCATTATGAAATTTGAAAAATAATGAAATAAATTCATAACCACATTTCGTATTTCCAGTCTTCCATTATCAGTTCATACCAGCCGCACTGCGATGCACGTGTCCATATTTGGTGCCAATTAGAGTTCACATCATTGTCTTTGTGGCCATCACAAACACTGCGGCTACAATGCTAACTACAATTTCTACTCTGGCTTCATCTGGTGCTAATTCTGAACAAAAAACCCTTTTACGATTCACAATAAATAAAATGTGAATTATTTTGTGAAATGCTTCTCATTGTTAACTAAGAAGTACAAACATACAAGAAGAAAGAAACAACAACAACCACAATCTTCGAGCATTCGCAGCTCCATCAGCCTTTATTCCACCAACAACAATCGTTTCGAGTTTTCTGCATATTCTATGTTTATGTTCACTGGCCAATGTCGGGAAGCCAATGGCCAATTATGGAGGCGCAAATGAAATTGTTTACTGTTCGGAAAGAAGAAGATAAATTGTTGACAGTTTTCTTAATTATGCGTTAATTGAATAAAATTGTATTTCCACAGAAAATTTCTTTATCAGCATTCATAAGTCAATCTTTTAATAGTATTTCGGTATTTTGGTACTTTCCTTAGACTGACCACTGAAAATAAAACGCGATCCCGGTTGAGAAGAGTACGAAGAAAATTAATGTAGTGGCATATACCTACATTATTAGTTAACTCGATAATGTTGATATAATCTTAACGAGGTTGCCGATTTGGAAATCTTTAATAGGAAAATACAGGGTTGAAATAAAAATTCTAAGAATATTAAGCAATTTTGTAAAAACTTTTCTTATATGCTATACTTATTGCAAGTTTACGTGGTGACAAGTTTCCAACCCGTTTAAAATCTAATTTAATGCAAATCAAGTTCCTTGACCCTAATCAAAATCAAGATGTCTAAACTATTTTAAAAACTATGGATTGTTCACAACAATCTTCCAATTTACGCAATATTCTTCGAGTGGTCAAGGTCTTCGAGTTATAGAGGTCTTCGAGTAATCGACATCTTCGAGTGATCGAGATCTTCGAGTAATCAAGTTCTTCGAGTAAGCGAGTTCTTCGAATAATCGAGATCTTCGAGTTATCGAGATCTTCGAGTAATCGAGATGTAGAATTGAAGGAAATTTAATACATTTAATTATACTTTAAAATAAATAAAAGTAATTAAAAGAAATGACTTTTATTAACAAAATATATTAAGAGTTGTTAAGTAAATATGCACTATAAAATTTTGCGATTTATGCTGATTATGCGCTTATCTGAGGCCCATCATTGACGAAATTAGTGGCAATCAAAGTTCCTCAGTCTAAAATTTTTTTTTTGGAGTATCACTGTTTTCTTCAAATTTTGCGCCATTACATACTTCTGGAAACTTGAAACTGTTGTCGTTACGAAGATCTAATGTAGTAGTTCCTCTCTGGATATATCATGATATATATCTCTGGATATATATCATATATCATTTAGTATATTATTGTCAGGAACAACCATATTTTCTGCAAACAATGCAATGTTCGCGCCAAATTTTGCGCTATTACATACTTCTGGAAACTTAAAACTGTTGTCGTTATGAAGATCTAATGTAGTAGTTCCTCTCTGAAAGGATATATCATTGTCAGAAACAACTATATTTTCTGCAGACAATGTAATGTTCGCGCCAGTACATATATTTTCTTTGACAGTTTGTTTTTGTAGTATACCACCATCGTCAACATGAAATTGTCCTTCTAAAATCGTTGTTGGTAATACAACACTATCGTTAATGAAGGATTTTACTTCAGTAATTACATTTTCAGCAGTTGACTTACTACGTTCAGCATGAAATTGTCCTTCTATTGTGGTTTTCTGAAGTTGAATTGCATCGCAAGTAGCGAACTTTGCTTTAACAGTTGCTTTTTGAAGACTAATGTTATTATCAGTCTGGCATTCTTTTTTAGTAGTGTGAACGTTCATCAATGTAATATTGATATCAGTATTAACAGTTGTCTTGTCTTGAATATGCAATCCTTCCTGCCCCCCACTTGTTAAAATGTGTTTGCTTTCCATAACCAGCTGATCTGTGGGTTTAGTCTTTAACGCAAAGCGTGCATTAAACATCTGAACTGTTTCTTTAACTACATCTGTGTTAGAAAACATTTTAAAATCTTCGGACATTACTTTAGTAATTGGTGCTTCAACTTCTTTAGGATTATTAACTCTTGAGTAGCAGTTTGCCACATTTTTCAATTGTGTAGTATTTAAACCATTTGATATTTTGATGATCTCAGTTAATTCAGTTTCAGTCCTCTTATCATCCAGATCTATATTTTCCGTTCCTGTTTTGATATCACTAAAGTCCGTTAATATTTCAACTAATTCAACAGCGTTAGTATCAATCCGGTCACTCAATACGCGACTTTTAACATCAGTGAACTGAACTGGCACTTTCAAATTCTTGGAAGCATTGCTTGTGTTCCGCGTTGACTTGCACAGCCTAGAATTCACAATAGGCTCTATAGCTTTATATCTAAAAGTAAATTGTGGTTTAGGTTTCGTCTTTGATAATTCATTTAGATGAGTTGCATTGAATGATCGTTTTGGATCTCTTGCACGACCTTGATATTTTAGTATGATTTCCGGTTGAAAATAATATTTCTGTTTTTCTGTTACCTTCACAGGAATGGTAGGGGTCCTTGGAGTTTGCGTACGCTTTACTGAAGCGTCGTGTGATTTTACAGTTTCAGGTGGTTTTCCTCCAATCAATTTCACGATATCAAATACAATCCCAGATGCATTTGCTATCACTCTTTTAATTTGTTGGTCTTCATCAGAATTGGGGACTATGTCTTTCTCATTGTATGATCTCTTGATACATAATTTAGAATTGACTTTTATTTTATTGAACTTTAAATGCTTACTCCTACTGGGTATGTCCGATGTTAATTTCGCGTTGTCTCCAGATATCATCTTGTTATGATTTCGAAGGTAATTCGGATACCGGGGAAGTTGAGATGGTTTGGGAATATCTGGCTGAGGCTTCCTTTTTTTTTTGTTGAGCACGGTAGGATCATCATAGTGTCGCAGATAGTTAGGATAACGAGGAACAAAGTTCTTTGCACAATTATTTGCAGCTTCACCTTTTGTAAATGTGTTTTTATTTATATTATCTAGAGCTGCTTTTTGTGGATCATTTTCTCTCCGTCGCAATAATTTTGTGTATGTAGGAAGGACGCAAGAGTTATTCTCTGTTTTTAAGATTTTCTTGTTTTTTGTATCATTGCCTTTTACAGTACTACAGCTAACATTCTTTCTCGCAGATACTAGTAACTCATTTTCACGCCTGCATACTGGTCTTCGTGAGACACTTATGTCAAGTTTTTTGAAAAGCGGATTATCGTCCTCATTAGCGACTGGCACATTCATATTTGATTTTTCCTCGTCACTCTCATTAATTTTAACGTATTGTGTTTTTGCTTCATCTTCTATAATTTTGTCACCCTGATTTATTGAATCGATATTCATCAATTCCGTAACATTAGTTAAAGAAAGTTCCGATTTAAAAGAAACCGACTCAAGTACTTCAACACAATTTTTATTTTCATATACAGTTGTGGTGGATATTGTATCAGAATCCTCAGAATCACTAAGCGATTCGTTTTTATTGTAAATGGAAGAGAGTGTGAAATTAGAACACACTGACTCAAGTACTTCAACAGAATTGTTACTTGCGTTAGTACGAATAGATGTACTGGATTCTGTCAGGTAATCTTTAAAGCTAATTAAAGATTCGCTTTTACCATAGATTTGCGGTCCCGAACATTCTAGCTGAGATATTTCATTCTTCTCAGTGTTAGTCTGACTGTTGCTAGAATATACCTTGCGCGAAGTAAAACTTGAAGAGTCACTAAAGAACTTAAATTCCTCCAAAGTTTGATCGCTATTATTAGCGGTATTATACTCGGAATTACTGTCATCACTATATTCCAATTCGTTAGGATTTTTGTATAAAACTTTGGTCGATATTTCGCTAGTTGTACAATATTGATCAATCAATTCAACGTCCAAGTGTCCGCAATTTTTGCATTGATTAGTACTTGTTGTCATTACCGGTGAAGACTGTGTTTGAGAGTCTTTGAGTTGTGTTTGAGATTCAACTTCAAATTCTTTTAATTTTAAAGTACTAATATGCTCATCAGATATATTTGCGTATAATGAAGATGGCTGTTGTGGCGTTTCGATTATGCTTCTATTCTTCTCACTTTCATCCTCTTTTCTAAATAAAAGTACATACTGATTATTAGATTTTCCATTTCCATCATTTCCTTTAAAGGACAACTCTTCCCCGGACGCCGTTACCAAACGCATAGAATTCAATTCATTTTTAGCATCACTGGCACTGAATTCTGAAAGCCTCCCTCTATAAGTTTTCATGTATTTTGGATCTAAATTCAATATTTTGTTTTCTTCCATCTTTTTTATATTACTTAAATGCATTCGATTTATAACTCGTATTTTTTCCTGTGCATATAGTAAAGGTTCTCGATCAGTTAGACGACTACGTCTCATATTTACAGTATTGCTAATTGCTGTCTCGTCGTTCAGGCGTTCAAATTCTGGACTATTTCCAGTAAAATATGTTCTCATAAAATTGTTCCCAGTGAGAGCATCCCAGAATGTTTTTAAAATATTAGATTTATCATTTTGTTCAGAAACACTATTTTCATATTCATCGCCTTCATTATGATGTTTCTCTTCACTACTTTCAGTCGACAATTGAGTTTGAATGTGTTTGTGGTCATTTTTCTTCAGAGCGGTACCAGCACGTTCTGGATTACAAACTACGGTGAATATGGGTGTATAGTAAATATACTTTGAAACTAAATATAACGTATATACATTATTCATTTATAAGAAAAATTCAAAAAATTATAATTTTGATTATAATTACCATTTCTTTTAAGTTCGGTTCTGGTAGTCACATTACAGCCATACTGATGAACACCTACAGTTCCTAACCCTTGTGGGTTTAAGGTGTTTAGAACAGGTGAGACATATATTATGCTTACATCTTCATTGCCTTCATTGTGGTATTTCTCTTTAACAACAGAAGAGAACATATTCTCTTCAGTCAACAATTGTGTTTGAATGTCTTTGCGGTGATCTTTCTCTATATCGGTACAAGCATTTTCTGGATTACAAACTGCGGGGAATATACATATAACGTAAATATATTTTGATACTAAACATGTCGTGTGTATAACAAATATACATAAATAAGGAATATATAAAGATAGAAACACAAATATATATATATATATATATATATATATATATAAAATCTTTAAGATAGTTACCATTTTTTTCAACTCTCGTATTGACATCATACAATGACATTATGCGATTTTTAAGATTATTATTATTTCCTTCAATTTCGGTGTTGGCAGTCGCATCACATCCAAACTCCTGAAGACATACAGTTTCAAACTCTTGTAGATCTGAGTTCTCCAGAACAGGGTACACATCTTTTGAGTTCTGCAAAACAAAAGTAAAGAGGACTTATGAATGATAAATGGATTGCAATGTGGTAAAAAACATTCAAAGTGTACTTTTAGAAATTGGAAGAGACTGACTAATTAAAGACAAGCACTAACTTGACTTGTATTATTATTGGAATTTTTTAACTACTACATCTTTTGTTATTAAAAAGGCAAAACAAATATATACATGTGTGTATGTATATGTATATTCATATATATATTGAAACACCATCATAATAAGATATTAATTATCTTGCACCCACACACTTTATTGCAATATAACTATTCAAAATTACCTCCATGTGAGGGTATAATCTGTGGATTAATCTTAAATGAAATTGAATTGAGTTTTTACAAAATCAGCTATAAAATATTCGTATTATTTTCACTGATTAGCCAAAATCACTTCTTAATCAACACTTCAAAAACATTAAAGTATTTGATCTCTAATATTAATATTTGCTTCTGAACTTTTTTGTAACTAACTTTTGTTGAAAAACTTTTATAATGAAAAGCAATTTGATTTTAATTTCGACCTGTTTTAATATTTAACACAAGGCACTCTGTTTTTTTTATTAGTTTTATTTTATCCAATATTTTCCACAATTTTATTAAAAATCTATCGATGTGCTTTTGCAGTATTACTTTCGTAGTGACGTTATTAACTTCGGGTTAGATTGTAGAGCTCATTTAAGTTTTAAACATTAAAAAAAAATGTACTTTAAATTATTGGTCTCCGTAGTATTGATTTTGAAACCAATAATATGCAATGCACTCAAAAAGGAATAACTGATAGCAGTATTTAAGAAAGGAACAATAGGATGTAATACAAAAGATGCATAGTACGATTTAATATATTTGTTCTTGGCACAATCCTGTCAACGCCATTGAATCTTTTATGATGAACTTATTGTCATAGTTGGTATATTGAACACACTTTGAAAAACATGTCCGATCATGTATAGATAAAAATCCTTGCCATAGGTGCCCACGTATTAAGTAATGTCTAATGAAAGCTGTCAATTTGACAGCTTCATGAGTACCGACGAAAATGTGAACGATCCAATTAAATTTTTAATTTATATTTAACAAATTTTCACTCAAACTTTAAAATTTTGATATTGTCACATTTTGGAATGGTTAAGTTAACTATCAAAAATGAGTAACATGACAGCAGTCTATGTCTATAAGTGGATAACCTCACTTCATCTTAATAGATAGACAGAGTTGAGCACTTGTAGACAGACCAAACTCATGTTGCCGAAACCTTGGGCTAGGGAAGCGATAAAAGTGCTGAGCTATTCGCGGAGCACTATAAGCTGGGTGACCTCACTCATTACTGGACATGTCAACTTCAAGTATCACCTCAAAAAGATAACGCTTGCTGAGAAAGACACTTGCAGACTAAGTCTAGAAGAAAAGGAGACAGCGGTGCCAATATTGTGCCAATGTTCAGCACTGGCAAGTAAGAGGAAGACTGTCTTGGGACACCATTGGGTTGGTGATGACTTGGCAGGAATACTCAAACTAAATGAGCTGCTTGCATTAACAAAAGATGTAGTTATGCGAACGGAAGCCACACTAGCTTTAACTCAATAACGACATCCGAAAATCGAAGGACGAAAAAGGACCTAAGTACTTTCGTGGTCTACTTCGGCTAATCCTTCACTTCAGTGGGGCCACTTGTTGGACAGTGCGCTGTCTCAACGTCCCACCATATATATAACTATCGAAAAACTGATTCCAAATTTTATTGGAGCAACAATTTTATGTGGAGAGTCGTACGAAGATGAGTTTTTAGTACCATGCTTCCCCATAACCCATTACCTAGGTTATATGCCAACTTAAGAAATCTTAAAACGTAATTAAACTCTATTATCACACTTTTATAAATATTCAATTGGAATCATTTGTTATCTATAAAACGTAGCAACGCACGCATGGTAGAATTAGTGCTAAATACAACTACCGAAATAGGAAGATCGTGTTTTGAATTTGAATAAGTGTTATGGATTTAATGTGTACCTTTCCATGGACTAGCCACTGGCTCTAAATGATCAATTTTCAATATTGAATGCGGTATTTCTTTATAAATGAACTTTTTCGCTCTTAGAACGTCTAGAGAAATTTTAAAGAGCTTTTATGGGAGAGTCTTCACAAAGATCGTAATACGGTCTTGGCTTTGCTTTATTATTAGACATTCATTTGTCCTTTGCATAAATTAGCACTTGTATGTCGAATTTTTTTATTTGTTTACTTTAGTAAAAATGAGTCCTTAGAACTAGCGTAAACTTAGTATATCACTTAAGAAACGATATAATTTACGGTCTATTGTAATGAATTAAATTCAAGTGGTCAAAATTGAACAAACGAAACGATATTATATTAATAACAATCTGTCGGCCTAAAACTATACAACGAAATATTACCGAATAGTGTGGTATTTTACAACGTGGAACTTGGCGACGAGTGAAGAAGTGAAGTCAACGTAATTTTATACAAAAAGAACCAAAACCAATGATATTATTGGATTTTTACTATGTTAACTAGAAGAAAACAGACATTTCATTATGAAATTGCTAGAGAACTCGTTAATAATTTTTGTATTCGTAGGGTATTGTAATAGAAAATCTGTATGAAATCACATGTTGACTTTGATCTGCCTCCGAAAAGTCTTTGGGACTTGTTCTTGAAATATCACACGTTACCAAAATTTTGCTTGCGTTACGGCCCAGAAGTGGTGCTGAATTGCATATATATATATATAGGCATTATACCGCAAAATATCGTAACGTTACGGCTTTTCAATCGTTTATCATGACAACCATCAAAAAGTCTATTAAAGTCAATATGGGCAATATTTCTTTAGGCTCTTGTTGCATTTTGACAAAGCATATATCGATCCATATTTGGAGCTGAAATAAATTGGTGTACAGTGCATCTCCGACCATTGCTTTAAAAGAAGCGTATCATTAGTTCTTTTTTCGTTTGTATATGAAATGTTTTCTGGACATAGGTCTTTACCAACCGCGAAAGAAAAAATGAATATTTTTGTGTGTAAACAATGATAAAGCCTACAAAATTGAATAGTTCTTCAAATTATTTTCTATGGGATAAAACGTTAAAATATTCTTTGTTAATAAAAGTTCTTCAGTTATATTGAAGAATTTTCAACACCTGCCCATGTACTGAAGTATTTCTCTAAACGATAAATTACTCTAAAAAACGAGTTTGGCATAAATTTTTAAAAAAAAAAAATATTTTCGATTTTTTTGTCAAAATATATTAAAATATAATAAGGAATATAACCACTATCAAAGGCATTAGACTGTGCCAGTAGTAGCGTAAGAGTATTGATGACGATTAACATCAACTAACGTCGTCTATATCTTAAAGTTAACTTTCTTTGTCTGGCTCTTTTTTTGATGGCTCTACAATATTCTATAAATATTGTAGAGCCATCCTCTAAAAGAGAAATGTGATGAGTATACACTTGCATATACATATGTATGTGTATACACATATAACATAATATTATTTAACACAATAAGTACTCATGAAAGTTATTAAATTATTATATATATTCTTACTTACTTCCATATTAAGTTAAAATCCTTGGAATGGTCTTTTTCAAGACCATTCAAGTGTCAGTTCTGGACATTAATTGCTCAAGCAATTTAACAAATTTTTGCAAAATCAACTTCTTAAGCCAAAATCTTTTCTTAAACAACACGACAAAGATATAAAATTATTTAATCTCTAATACAAATATTCTTTTCTCAACGTTTTTGTAACTAACTCTCGCTTAAAAACTTTTATAATGAAATAAAATTTTCTTTCAATTATTAAATGCTTGTATATTTGTTACAAGGCATTCTGTGTTTCCTTATTTTTTCTTTGCTCAATAATAAATGTCAGAATTAATGCCTATTAGAAGTAGAGATGTGGATTTTTGTGTGGATATGCTAACTTTGCCACATAAAAACTTTCTACTTTTTAAATTTAGACACAAATACACGTACCGAAGCAGTAATAAAGTTCCTAACAAGGAATACCTTAAACATTAAATACAGGATAAACTTCTTGTACTCTTATAATTGACCAAATATTTTGTGCATGATGAAAGCAGTAAACACAAGATGATGTCCCTTTATTGTCTCTTATACTGCGTTTACACTGTGAGATTAAAAGTAGATTAAAGCAATAATCGACATTAAAGTACTAATCTTGTTGTTTAATCACAGATTTCGCATACGAAAGTTAATCTGACGTGATTAATTTTTAATCTCCCTGGAAATAGTAATTATTTTTCTGTGCAACTCTGCAAATGTTATAATAGATCTTTTCTTTTGTAAGCATATCACAAAAGAACAAGTGCTTATTTTAAAAATAACATATGCAACAGTAACCTTTTTGAAAACCAATTAACTTACCATAATGATTTTGATGTGAGAAATGAAGAACGTGGAAGACCGCCAAAAAAGTTTGAAGACGTCGAATTGCAAATGATATTGGATGGAGATGACACTTTGAGTCAAAAGCAAATGGCAGAAATGTTAAATGTTGCACAACAAACAATTTCTGACCGTTTAAAAGCTATGGGAAAGATCCAAAAGTGTGGAAAATGGGTGCCACATGAATTGAATGAAAGACAGATGGAAAACCGAAAAAACACTTGTGAAATTTTGCTTCAAAGACACGAAAGAGCCGTCAGTATCGGTTTTGCATCGGATTGTTACTGGCGATGAAAAATGGATTTATTTTAAGAATCCTAAACGGAAAAAATCATGGGTTAATCCGGGACAACCATCAACATCGACATAAACAGTATAAAACGAAGACTGTAGATATCGAATATATGCCAACCGCATATGGGTGAGAGTTTGAAATGGTCTATTCTAATTAGAATGCTAAACTCCTGTTTCCCTAAAAGTATGCAAGATTTAATGGGTACCACATGTAAACCAAGAATTAATTTTTGAAAATTGACTGGGTGATGAGTTAAGTCATATTAGATTCGGACCAAAAACTCAATAGTGCTCTTGATGTAATAATTGTTCTATATGCACTAGTCAAATACACGCAGAACAAAACTCTGACACGATATGGTTGAAATATTAATAAGGTGTTCTTTATACTCAGAAACTGAAATGAAGTCCCAAATGAAGTAATTATACTTTAATTAATTTTATAGTATTTTAATTAATAATAGTATTATTTAAATTTAAACATTTAGTAGTTGAAGCAAAACATTATTAATAATAACAATAACAAATCCACAATAAAATATTATTTCTTATTTATGAGTGATATCACTCAATTCTGTTCATATTATTTGGACATTTTAAAAACCGAAATTGTTCAAATTTAGATTTATTGGATTTCAACGAAATATCCTGAGTTAAAAATAAAATCGGCTTTTTTGTAAATTCAGAGTCTCCGTATATTCAAATTTGCAGTAATTATTTGCAGTGAAATTGCATTTTTATTTCTCAAAAATATTTATATTGAATCAAATCACACATTACTTGCAACTCTGACAAAATATCTAGCTTGTTATACATAAAACTCGTTATGGTCAAAACAAAACACCAATTCTTTATCCTATACCATAACAATATATATTAGCATCTGACCATTTTAGGATTCCAAGAACGGCCGGGTCTTCGTCCCGTAGCTACATGTCGCCAGCGAAGACCAAGTGCCGTTTGACACCATCCAAAAGGACTTCACAAGCAGGTCCCAGCAGGTTACAACAAGAACAACATTCTGACGTGGACTGTAAAACCCCGAATTGGTAACTTAAACCAACAATACAATCCGCATCATCGATGTTTCTAGAACTAAGTCGCATATACTGCCTTACAGTGGGTTTAGGAAACTACGGAGGCATTGCACTAAATAATAAATGGTAGAGTAAATGAGGGATTAGTGACACTGAATTGCCTGCACTTTGGAGCTCCAACGAACTCTACTCTATTGAGTAACATTTACGAACATATAAAATTTGAATCGCCAGTATAATATTAAATTAATAAATGCTGGAAACCAATATTTTATATCAACGACGTTTGGAGCATGACCTTTTGAACTTAAACCAAAATGCTGTGTCTGAATCACTGTAGTGATCGTTTTGGGGGTGTTGGATAAGTAGAAAAATAAAGTTTTGAATACGCAGAGAATACTGCCTAAATTTTTTTTCGGTTATAAGTTTTGTGCAATCATGAATGTGAGTAAATATTTATTTGGCGGAAACAAAATTATTTATTTTTAATTTAATTTTTTCTGTAAGGAGTTCAAAAGTACATTGAAAGAGAAGTAAATACATTATGTAAAAATATGAAGATATGATATATATATATATGATATATAGTAGTTCCTATATACATTCTTCATTCTAGTCTTCAACAAAAATAGTAGTGGATTTCTAATCTTAAATAGATCTGAACTTATCTATATAAAGAGCATTGAATAGCTTAAATTTATCTGGATTAGTTAAGAGAGTCCAGTTTAGAAGAGAAATGTCAAACACCTTTTTAAAAAAAGATGAACTGTCAGATGCCCAAGACTAACTTCGGTAGATGTCAAAGTTTCGGTAGCAACAAGAAAAAGATGGCAACATTAGAAGAATATAACTCAATAACCTTGGCGCTAAGAACAGAAAGTTGATCTACAGCCAAATAATCAGACTGGCACTTCTCTTCGGGGGTATTGCGTATAACAAAGCTACCAACTCTACTATCTAGAAGCATCCGTACATCCGCACGAAGGACATGCTAAGAGAACTCAGAATACACCCGGTCAAAAAATATATGGGGCACAGAGTCTTGAAGTTATACGCAAAAACTGACAGGCTGCCTTACACAGCACTCAGCACTATCTAATATCAGGGCAGTCAGTATACGTACATGGCGATATGCAGATCTTAGATCGGTCATTGAATATTCAGTGAAGCTTATGAGAAATAACTAAATTAGTCTGTAGAAACCCATCAACTAAAAAAAAGTGAAAGTGCCCAGTTGCACTAAATCGGTAAAACCTCAACATAAGATAAGATTAGAAGAATACCGTAGAGCCATCAGGAATGGAAAGAAGTCTTCTTAAGAAGGAAAGCTGCTGCTTCCAGTCGTAGCTCGTAGGTAGGCATTAACAATTCAAAGAATATTTTAATGCATTGCATTTATTTTAGTTTTAAAGTAAGAACTGAAAATAACGTTTCTATATTGCAACAAATACAAATACTAAAAAGTATATTCTGAAAAATAACAATGAAAATTTATGCGAGAACAATTGCTACTAAATCCACTTAATCCACTAAGAGGTTCAAGAGCAAAACATGTGTTCTAACTGTTAGAAAATAAATGTTTTTGTAGCACTTCACACTACACGCCCCAAAGCTTAAAATAGATTGCTGAAAACAAAATAATTAGAATGATTCCCAGTAATAGAATGTGAATGCCTCTTGCCTCTCTCTAACGTAAAATCCAAAATTTTATTAAATTATTAAAAATCTATATAATTAAATTGAGATACCTTCAATTTTAATTTCTACCTCCTATTCTTAGTACAGATGGTTCACTGCTAAACTCACCCAAAGCTTGAATTATGAAAAATGAAAAAATAGCGAAATATTATCATTTTCACCCCAGAATATCGTATAACGCATATGCGTCCCTGACCGCGTCAAGCAATCGTATCACGTTCCATTGGTCTACTTGGACGACGCTCGTGACATTCAGATTAAGTATTCAAAAATAGAAACAATTAAGGGAAGCCTGCCTAGGCGAAATGCACATCTATGCACATCTATGCACACTGAGACGTCAGAACTGAAATAGAGAGAAGTAAAAATAAAATTTTAATTTAGTCTGCACTATTATAAATTGACTCAAAGAAAGACACTGACACTGTGGAAGCGTAGAAGCTATAAACGCACGAGGAAGCATAAATAATGCATTTATGAAATTTTGAAATATTTAAAGAAATCTTATTTCACAAAAACAAAAATTAAATTCTTAACATTGAAAATGCCTCATAAGAGCTCTACATGTCAACTTGTTGGCTTTTAAGCTGCCAACTCAGTGCCATCAATTAAGAAGACGAGGAAGTAATTTGTGGCCACTTTAGAAAATTAATAAACGGATGAGATGAAATGTATTTTGTATCTGGAAAAAAATTGGACCGGTATAAGTTTTATGCATAAGGTGTTTCCTCTCAGATACAGGGTGTTTCCTCTCAGTTAATGAGGTTAACTGAGAGATATGATTTCTTGGTGCAAGAAACGAAAAAGATCGTATAAGAATTGAAACCCGATTTCTCCTAATTTTAAGCTCAATGGAGGATGTCAATGAGAAAAACCTTCAGCCATCCATATATAATCCATATATTATTCTTGATGACTGACCTGTTATCCCTTTCCAAGAAATTTTAAATACAACTAAGTATTCTTATTAGAATACTGAATATTAGAATTTGTCTTCGCACCTCCTTTTCTCACTGTAGGTGAGAAGAAATGTTTACATCATGTGCCCGTAAAACTGTTTTAAGAGATCCATGATGACATTTCACTCATAATGTTACAATTTGTAGTGTTTTATAATGACAGTTTTTATTGCAACACTTCATCAATGACAGCCGTGGTAAAAAACTAAAATTAACTTCAAAAATTTTTGTAATAAAGTATACAGATTTTCATATTTTAAATAAAAAATGTTCGGTTTAATTAATTGCACTTATCAGTTCCCATTCTGAAGACCCAATGCAGATGTTAATTTAATCTGTTTTCATACATAACGATGC